GAGCGACAATGAGGACGTTGGACCTCTTATTCTCTCTCTCTCTCTGTGGTATTTTGTGGTTTTCATGGTAACTCTGCTGAACTGGAACTCTTTCTATGTTTGCCTGTGTTTTGTATTTACGTTGGGTATTGCTGGAATTATACTGATTGGGATTTCCATCTCATGTCACATTCTTCAGATTTGAGAGGATGAATAGTCTCATTAAGGACTGATAATGGTCCTGTTCTTGGTTTTGTTTTTTTTACGTGGGCTTGGTCTGGTGGTGTATTGTTCTTTTTCTGTGAAAGCTCTTTTTTTGTGGTGTGTTCTCTTCTCTTTCTTCCTTTATGAGTATCTTTATTGACAGTTTGCTTTTATTATGAATTTTTCTTCTTCTGTGGTTCTTTGGATAGTTCATTATACCCCAAGAACAAGAAAGCTAACTCCTGACATGATGTTGTCGCGCCGTTTCTTTTATCTTCTGGTTTTGCTGCTAAGTGTGGCAATTGTCTGTGTGGCGACTGTCGAGCCTCTTCCTGTTAAAGTACCCGAAGTTCCAAAAGAGGTGGTTCCTGAGAAAAAAGCACCTGGTCCTCCTTCCCCAAAACCCGAAGTTCCTCCTCCTGAAGTAACTGAAGTTGATACAGTTCACGAAGCTGAGAAACTTAAAGTTCAAGGTCAAGTTGGAGATAGTAGTTCTTCTGATTCCGTTAGTCCCGCTGGTCCTGCTGGCACGGCAGGTAAACAAATTCCTTCTGTTTCTACTGTTGAAAAAGCCAAAAAACCTCCTGTTCCTGAAAATGATGGGGTGGATGAAGATACCGCGCAGGGTCCTGTTGTTATTGGTCAACCATTACAACCACAACCTTCTAGTCAACCTTCACTGCCAATGCCAGTATCTGGGGAGAATTTGGCTACTGAAAATCATGTTACCAGTGGATCAGGTAAAGTAACGGATGATGGTGCACACGCTGCACAGGATCGTCCCGGTGAAAATGGAACTGGTGGTCAACCTGCTGATCCTGCAACTGCGGCAGGGAATAATGCTGCACTTGGTAGTAACAGTCAAACTGGAAACAACGACAACAATGAATCTGGTGAAAGTACAGATAACAAGGGTGATGCCGTCACACAATCATCATCTTCCAGCGGTACAGAGTCAAAGAGTGATGGAGAATCTGAAACCACAACGACTGGAAATGACACTACACCTGCTGAGAGTGAATCAACAAACAGCCAAAATACGGCAGATAATACAGATACCACCACCACCATCACTACCACCACAACAACAACACTTCCTCCTGAACTCACAAACAACAAGAAGGGTGATGCAGACAGCAGCAGCAGTATCATCAGTTCTGTGTGGGTGCGTGTACCACTACTGATTGTGGTTACACTGGCCTGTATTCTTGTGTGCTGATTGTGTGATGATGGTGTGGTGTGGTGACTCAGGTCATCCTTTGTTTTCATTTTCTTTTTTGCATACATCCACACTACAGTATAACTAATCTTCCACTTGTTGGGATTTCTCTTCTTCTTTTCTTTTTTGTTTCTTAATGATATTGTGTGTTTTGTGTGTTTTTACTCTCTGTGTGTTTATCCTATAATAATAATTATTGCTACTCCATTGTGTGTGTGTGTGTTCTTGGAGACTCTCTGTGTGTGTCGCTGGGCTTTGCACTGTAATGATGATGAACTGCTTTTTTGCAGTGAGGAAAAGGAAATAATAACAACAGATGAATTTATATTTATAATTGCGTATATACACATATATAGACTTACACCCATAGTTGGTGTATTTCTGTGTTTACTGGGTAAATTGGGCTAATGATTAATATCTGTTTATTTGCTTGTTTGTTTTGCTGGGTCTCTGAGCCTTTTTGAGATATTTATGAGTGTGGGCTTTTTTTCTTCTTTTCTTTCTGAGGTTATTGCACTGTATTGAATTCTTTAACTGGTAGGTTTTACTTTCACGATGTCAGTTTCCATAGTGGTAATCGATTGATGTGTGTCCTAACGTGTTTGATACTTCAGTTATTTTCTTTTTTTTCTTTTCGATTGTCTTTCTTTCTAGAGCAGTGTTTTTACGTGAAACAAACCCTTGTGTCTCTCATGATGATAATGAAGCACCGTGTGATGTTTGTGTTGGCCGTTGTGCTGTGCTGCGCCTGCGGGTATACCATGGCGGCTGCTGCTGTGTCCTCACCCACTGCTGTTGTTCCTCGTGCTGACGAATCATCGACGGCGATGGCGTTTGGTGGTGATATTTTAAGGTATCGCAATCGCGACAGTACGGATTTTTGGAGTGAGCTTAAGGCGCCTGTTGACTCAACTAAAAAGAGTGTTCGTGATGGTCAAGAGAGCACTACAAGAAATAATTTGGGGAGAGGACAGAGTAACTCTCATGGCCATTCGGCTGGTGTGGATCGTACATTGGGTGGTGGGGAATCAGCGTTAACGGAAGAATTGCACACAACGTCTCTTCAGGACGAAGGGAATACATTGAAAACCAAGTTAGAACACCCTCAAGTGGTGGAATCTCCCAGTGTTTCAGATCCTACTGACCAACAAGAAGAAAAACAAAAACAACAAGGATTACCTAATAGAGATGACTCCTCTTCTCTTTCACCTACTGTGAACACTGATGCTGGGGATAGTAGTGGACCAGGTACAACAACAGTGGCTTTACCCCAATCTGGTGAAAAAGCAGTGGATGCCCCAGAGAGATTGGATACACCCGCACAACCTACAATATCAACGAGTTCTTCTGCGAGTGTACCTGCAGAGAGCAGTACAATTTCAACATCTTCCACTAACAACAGTACAGGTGACAGTATTTCTAGCGCGGCCACGGGTGTGAGTGCGACAGCAGACACAGAAGGAACCAATACCACTTTTACCCCCAAGGCATTCCCCGAGAACACTGACAGACAAGCAATGAAGATTGTCAACGTTGACAGCAGCAGTATCAGTTCTGTGTGGATGCGCAGTGCAGCACCGCTACTGATTGTTGCTGTATTCTTCTCCGTTACCGTGTACTGAACAGTGGGACTCATCTGAGGACAAATCATAATAATGGTTAAACTACCATAATCATATTTGCTTATATACCCTATGGGTGAATGTATGAACTAATAATCTGTTTATCAGCTTTCTCTTTTAATTCGAATATCTTTTCTTTTTCTTTTAATTTTGTGTGTGTGTGTTCTTTTTAATAATACCATTACTTGCTTTTTCCGTTGTGTGTATGCAGAAAACTGGGCTGTTCTGCTCGCTGACGGTACAATTATTTTACTGGTACACATGAGTATGTGTGTGTGCAGAAATTTAATACACATAAACTAGAGCCATGGAGTATTGTGTGTTTTATTGGTCACTCTCTGTTTGTGTGTGGCTGGGCTTCCACTGTGATGATGATGATGAATTGCTTTTTGCAGTGGGAAAAATGAAATAATAATAATAGATGAATTTATATTTATAATTGCGTATATACACATATATAGACTTATACCCATAGTTGGTGTATTTCTGTGTTTACTGCGTAAATTGGCCTAATGATTAATTTGTTTTATTAACTTGTGGTTTGCTGGGGCGTTGAGTGTGTTTTGACCCCTCGTTCTTATTGTGCTGTGCATAGTGCAGAGCGAAAGCATAATAACATTCGTAAACACATATATTTATAATTACAAATGATCTTTAACCACATTTCTAGTTCTCTGAATGCTGTGTTTGATGATGCCGTTAGTTTTTTTTTTTCTGGATTTCTGAGACAGTTGGTGCGATGTGCCTATTTATTGGACTCTTCATCGTTTATTTTGGTGTTGGTGTTTTGTGTGACTGATGCTTTTTGTTGTCTTTCACAATGTGCGTCGGTTTCATTGACTTTTTGTTTTGTTTTCTTTTTTTCTTTCTTTTTTTTAAGATATCGAAAGCAACGGGAATAACTCTTATTGCGATG